ACTGGGATACCAGCGACCGACCAGTACACTGAAATAGAAATGGGAGCAGAGGAAAGAAAAGAGAAGAGGGAGGAGAGGTAAGGTGTGGTGATAGATAGGAATGGGAGACAGAGATAAAGGGCAGCCTGGGGGCGGGGGGCCTTGATTAGGAGGAAGCTTGGTGGAAGTAGGAAGGACAAATAAAGACAGGACATACAAAGGCAGGTAAAAAGTAAGACAACGTAAGCGAGAAGATATCCATGGCATGGTTGCAAAGTGAGAGCAAATCATTTTACCAATTCTAAAAAGGTCAGTTCAATATGTTGAGATCTGCAGGTTTTTTTCTTGCAGACAGATAACAGTTTAGCACAGAGGGTGGGCAAAACAGCCAGCCAGCGTGATGCACAATCATCAAATATCCCTCTTGTTCGCCACTTGCAATTTAGCTTCTTTCCATACTTTTTTAAGTGCACAGACCTCTACATTTGACCTAAATTAAAGATCCCATTTGGTTACGCAAATTCTGTTCTAACAATTGAACTGAAAAATGTCACCCTCACACCTGAAAAACTTGACATTGTCTGTATAAAATGAACCAGATTAGCTTTTTTCAAACCCATGCAAGCTTGAAATAGTCCTATTAACTTTTTGTAGAGTGAAGAAGAGGCAAAAAAGTGGTGGATAGTAGACATGAGGTCGTGGTATTAAAATGATCGAGCTGCGAGCATAATCCTGTTAGATACACAATTGCAGTGCAGTTAAGGTTTGTAGCTAATTAGTTAGGACTCAAAAACAGGTGTGAAATGGTCTATGTAGTTCTAGAAGTTGTGTCCAAGCAGAGGTTGAGAGTTGTAGGTAACAGTGATAAATAAATGAGGCACGGCAAAGAAAAGCATTTTAAAGGAAAGGTGTGAGTTTGAGGAAATGAAATTTAATTATTCAGACTCAGAGAGGCTAAAACAGGTTGTGTAAAAAAAGAAAATCTGAATTTTATTATTATTGTTGCATCTTCAAAGTTTCTCATGTATTAATTAGTATTTATTGCTTAATTTAATGTAAATTACCACTGTAGTTTTGCAATGTAGAAAAACTGTCTATAAAATGTGGGCTCTAATCCCATCTATATTTACAACTGCTTCCCTGCAAATGTTTGCCTAAGTATCCTCCTACCCTCGTTCTCAGCATCAAAAACCATCAATGCTTTGAGCACTTCTCTATCATCCAGACCCTCGAGGAACGGCTGAGCTCTCTCTGTTGATTTCTCGTTCCTCCCGAGGAGCATTACTGATGTGTTGCAGCTCTCTACTGTGTCTTATGAAACCAGCAAGTCAACTCTCACGAAAAACACCTTTTCCTTTTGTCTTCCGAAAAGCAGGTCATATGCTGGTCGGTCGCATGCCATATCTTCTCAGAAACTAAGCTGTAGCCTGACAGCGCATCCGACCCTTCACCTGCTGGCTGCCTGAGAGAAACGTTAGCTCTTCACTCCTACACTCACCTTCTTGGTAACTACATCCTGGGTAAAGGTACTGAACCTCTGAAGGCTAAGAACTGGAGAACCCAGAAATTTAAAATTTAAGTGTATTTCAGTGCAGTGTATTTCCCAGAAATATAACTATTGTATGTGCTGATTTTATAGCGATTGTATGAATAATGTACATCTGGTGGTTTGACTGCAGAACTGGGTTACTGCTGAAGAGTTGCTGTAGGTTAAATGACACTTTGGTAGATCTGTTTTGCATGAAAATTATAGCTACAAATTCAAAGCACACTATGACTGTAATATTTTTAACACTCAAATTTTACTAATCGAACTGACTTTACATACATGTTGTTGTGTTGTTGCTCTTGACTGTCTGATTCTTGAGTACTGGGCTGGTTTTTGAGCTTGATTGACTGGTTTCAGCTGGTTTTGTCACACAGACCTGAACACCCGGGAATTTGTTTCCAAATACAGGATGAATCATCATAGAAACAATGTAACACGAGGGTCTCTTATGATCTAACACAGCCCCATGGGACACATTCATATTACACAACACACATGACGGCAAGCCTTAGAAAATAACTTGAAAGAGCTGCAGGATCATCTTTCTAATATAATATAATATATTTTCTAATATACAATTGCACCAACCACCCACTCAGTTTAAATTTAGTCACTGATCCTGTCAAAGAAAACAATTAATTTATCAAAAGTAATTAAGCCTAACCAGGCACCGGGGAGAAGACAGCCTGCTTGTTAGCAATAGAGCTCAGACCCTAACTGAAAAAATGACTTGTTAAATGGACTGACCAATTAAAAATCTTCAATAAATAAATATGGTATATGCTAAAATATATGTGATAGCGTGTCTATAGTGTAGTGGTTGACACATATGCCTTACAAATGAAAGATCCCTGGAGACACAAATCCCATGGGGGTTTGCCAAATAAAATATTCAGACTTACCTGCTGTGGTGACCCCTAAAAGCAGCTAAAAGTAGTAATAAATAAATATGATACAGGTAAACCTCCTTGAGCTGAAGTACTCAGAGTAAATCCACTAAATGGTACATACTGTATGGTGAATTAATAATTAATGGTACACACATTTGATGTGATGTACTATTTTAAGTAATGCAGTCAGTATGTGACTCATATATATTGTTAACTGCACCACAAAGATGTATTTTTTTCCACTTCTTTTAACTATTTTATTGTAAAAACTGGGTATATCAAGCAGAAAGCAGTATATTTTGAAAGACCGTGGAGTTCTACATTTGAAGGCGATAATCTAATGCCAGACGTTTTGGGTGATTTAATGTGAGACCTTCATAGGTTTTAAATGAGATGCATTTGTAATTATTCCTTGAGCAGATTAATTTGCTTTTGTCTAGCGTTTTAAGGTAATTAAGTATGGGTGTAGACAACAGTATGTTAATGATTACAAGTCCCCTCTTTTTATTACATTAGTTTAATTTTTGTGTGTTATTGCACATCGGCAGGCTGTGATCCTGGGTTAGTATTTAGTTGACTGATAAAATGTAATATTCAATCATGTAATCATGATCCTCGTGAGAATGGGAAAATGAAATTATAATTTTATGTCTGGTATGATAATTTTATTGCTAGCTCAAATTCAATTTAATTTGAGTATCACTGTAACACTGCAGGCATTGTTTCTGCTCATGTTGCAAATATGGTGATGAGCAGTAGTCACCACAATTAGATATTCAGCACAAGGCTAAAGAAGTGGCACTATAATATAAACTGAAGCGTAACCTTTTAATAATGAGTATTTTACAGCATTACTGGTTCTTCTCTAGTTAGGGAATTTTATCCAAATGTGAGGGCATGTTTTCCTGAAAAGCTCACTCGCAATTTTATGGGTGTTACAGCGGTGTTTTCAGCATATTGTGGCTTCCGTACTATAATAATTTCTTCTGGGTAAAGACCCTCCTACTCTTGCTTTTCCACAGTATGAAAGATTTTCAATCCCCCGAGCATCTCTCCATCCCCCCAATCCTCAAGGGGCAACACTGTCCATAAAGTTATTTCGTATTTCTTTGCTTTCGACCAAGGTGGACCTACTGACGTTCTGCATGTCTCTACTGTCTCTTGAGAAAACAGTCATATCCACCAACAGTCTTCTCTCCTATCTGAAGGAAAACAGGTCATTCACCAAGCAGCTCAATGCCAACTGTTCTTGGAAACCAAGCTGTAGCCCGACAGCCCATCGAGCCCCTGAATGACTCGTGCCATTCACCATCTGGCTGCCTAAAGGAAATGCTAGCTCTTCACCTCCCAGTCAGCAACTACATCACGGGTATAGGTATACATCAAGGAACCAGGCTTCTGAGAAAACTGAAGGGTAAGAATCTGTGTTCTGTCTGATTCTGTGTTCAGTTTTGTTTTAATCCATCTCTTTTTAAATATTTATTCACTATTTATTTAACCGTGCAATAATAATAAAACATTTTTTTTTAAAGTTTCCCTAAATTTATCTAGTTTACTCTTATAGCCAGTGGGCGTAACCATGAGTTGACCTAGAAATGGTCTGACAGAAGACGATCAGGAAACACAATCTTCTTTGGGTGTCAGCCTATAGCGTTACAGGCTACCTCTGATGTCACACTGGTGACACTACACGAATACTGATCAATTATCCCAATGTCTGGGGAGGTAGATGATTTAAGTACTGTGATAAATATTCAATATGCTGGTGTAGCTATTCGAAAGGCCAATTTTTCTGCTTGTGGGGATGTTAGGTATGCATTTAAAAAAACTGCTTTAAGTGATTGGGCTGACACAAATACAACCACCATTATGGATTTTTGCATCATGTTCTTAAATGAAAATCTGTGAGAACAAACACGCTACATACGCTAGGGTAAAACCATAGAAGCACATCTGCATATAAATTCTTACTGTTTTATTTTTTAATTAAAAATAAGAAGTAGGAAACAGATTAGGATTTGGATATTTTTATGCCATTTCTCTCATGCCCAAGAACCGCAGCACATCCCACATGGCCAAAATCTCTACCGTGTTGCTCCAGCGACCTGCTCCTTCAGGCTATAGCCAATTGGCTGAAAAAGAGAATGACAAGGGAGGGTGGGATGCTTTTGCAGGGGAGGGGGGAGTTAGGGGGGGCTAAATTGTTCACAGAGATTTCTGTGCATACTGAACAGGTCTAACAAAGCTGGCTGTGAAGAATTTTCATTAGTCCCCTCAAACGGGACTCCCTCCCATGTGTACTTTGCTGATGTTGTGTTTATGCATTTCTCCAGGTGCTTTACAATGTTGCTGCATGTCTGTGATTTTATCAGTGATTTTGGTATCAAAGAAGCAGGTTATCCATACAGCAGGTTATGGTAATCCATAAAATTAAAAAAAAAAATACAGAACAGATACTGGAAATCTGCAGTCTGCATAGGAGGACATATTCTTCAAGAAATGGTCTTTGGTACAATAAGTACCACTGCATCCATTTTCACATTCACAACCACGCACATGCATAAATAAGCGCAGTAACTCACCTTCTGTGGGTGAGGTTTTCAGTCGTTTGCACAGTCCTTCTACTCCCCCGGAGTCCTCCTGGAGCTTGACCACCGCCTCTGTTCCACGCAGCTCCATGAGCGAGCGCAGCTCCATGAGCGAGCAGCCAAAGGCTGCTGCATGGTTGCCCTCATTTCTTTGGTTCTTGGCGTAAAAATCGCTGTTGGACATGTCTCCCATGATGTCAGCTAGTTAAGTCAGTTAGATTAGTGTTTCTTATTGCTTATAGATTAAACAAAAGCTTTCACAAGAGAGCTCAGTCTCTTCCAAGAAAAAAAAATCCAAAATAGGTGTGAATGAGGCAACAGCAACAAAAAGAGAAAAAAAAAATCTCTTCAAAGAAAAGTAAGGAGATACAGGGATTAAAAAGCGGAAAAAATCCGTGGGGATAAATTGATGAGCAGCTTCTCTGTTTCAGGAAAGACAGATTTCAGCAGACAAAAAACCATCAGAGAAGAAAAAGAAGAAGAGAAGAGAGAGCAGCAGAGGAGGAGAAGAGGAGGGGATGAAAAAACACAAGTGGGGAGCATCCAGGTAAGCACTGGACAGCCCCAGTGGTCAGGTCCTGAGAAGGGCAGTGATGGTAGATGCAAGTCCTGTCGGTCTCAGGCTCACCACGGCTGCAGTCCAGACCCGCTCCATGTGTGGCTTCCCATTGCTGCTATTCTGCTGTTGCCTCCGCTGCCTCTCTGTCTCTACATGGTGGTCTCCCCCATCACTGCTATGGAGAAAGAGAGGAAGAGAGAGAGGGGTGGTGGGGGGGGGGTGAATTCAAGAGACAAATTCAAGGAGGACAGAAGGTGAGGGAGGAGCAGGGAGAGGCACAGAAAGAGAGCACAGGGATGAGCGTTGCGTTCTCAGGGCAGGGGTGAATGCAGCGGTAGATGGTGCACGGCTGAAGGACAGCCTCTCCTGGCTGCTGCAGTAACTGTTCCTCTGCTGTCTCTATCTACTGCTGATGCTGCTGCTGGTGCCGCTAACCTCATTCTGAGGACACACTAACTGACAGAAAAGGAGAGAGAGAGAGAGCGAGAGAGAGAGAGAGAGGGAGAGGATATGAAAACGAGGGAGAGAGGAGAATGCTCCTTTCTGGTGCAGAGCGGAGAGGAGTTGTGCGCGGGCGGGAGGCTGGGGCTGCTCTGACGACAAAGCGGAGAGGCAGAACGTAGCTCTGCGCTGTCATGGGAGGATGGGCTGAGCTGTGAAGCTGCTGCTGCTGCTGCTATCTCACCACTCGTTCTTCCTCATACTACAGTATATGACCTTTTCTATGCAGTCACTCTGCCTCAGTGACACACTCCTCTCCACCTGTTGTCTTATAATGCTTTGCAGCAATGAACTGAATCAATGTCTCCACCTCTTTCGCCTCTCTCTCTTTGCATTTACATTTAAAAGCAATCACGACTGTAATCACTAAATAAGAGTTAACAGACATCTGGTGATCTTAAGTACTTTGAGCACCAGGGCTTGAAATAAACATCCACACAAGGTTAAAATTTCACCCAGACTGCTCATGTAGTTCATTTTCTGCTTGTTTGCTTATGTTTTATTTTATTGTATTACATAAACCAAAAAGCAACAATTTGCATGATATGTTGACAACAGATATATACAGAATACTTTATACCTTATAATTTAAGTGACTTAATCAGTACCATCAGTGACCCAGCATGCCACATGCTGATCGCATCCTGACTAGATTAATCTAGAAACTCCTCAGGATGGGAGTCAGGGCATTTGCTCTCATCTGGGCTGCTAATTATCTGTTAAAGCATCCCTGTTTTATTCAACTAGGGACCTCCTGGCTTGAAGTGGCTAGTAAAATACACATGTAACAAGAGAATCTCTGTTCACTCTAATTCCAGGATGACTTTGACTCATGCTACATACAGAAAGTCTCCAAAGACTCTGTGTGGTATCATGTACCCTTTCTAACAATCCTTTAATCCTCATAGGTGACGAGGTAAGAATTCAGCATTATAAATACTTGGGTACGTTTCATAAGTAGACTGGATGGGTGGACGAACACTGGTGCTGTTGACATATAGGCGAGGAACAGACAATTTTCTCTGAGGAAGCCCAGATCTTTCGCTCTATGCAACAAGATGCTGGGTACCAATCTGTGGCTGCAAGTACCATCTGTGGTCTGCAGGGGAACAGCATCAGTGCCAGAGATGCCAGCAGGATCAATAAACTCATTCGCAAAGGCAGAACTACCATTGGTCAAAACCTGGAGACGGGGAGTCAGGAGGTTACTGAAGAAACTGCTCTATATCATGCACGACCCATTTCACAACATTCATCACAGACAGAAAAAGGCGGAGCCTGAAACAGACACATTCAGCTTTGCTGCCATAAATGTTTTAAGAAGTTATTTTTACCTTTCATATTAACACTATCATGGTACTGGGTCGTGTGGCCTAGTGTTTGAGTTTTCATGTTTCTTTTTTATTTATTTGTGTTCCAGTTTAGCTCATCTAGTTAGTTTCTAGACTGCTGTTTAGTCCTTTGTTTCTCATCCTCCCCTACACTAAGTCTCCCTGGTTCATGCATCTACCTGTCATGTTTCATGTCTGTGTGGTTCTTGTTGTCAAGTTAATGTCATGTCTACATCTCCATGTTTCCTGTTTTATTTTGGAGGAGTCTACTGTGCCTTCATTGTATTTAGTTTCACTTCCCCTGTCCCATCATTATGTTCATGTCAGTCAGCTGCTTTCCCCATGTGTTCCCACTTCCCCTAATCACCTCCTGTGTTTTTAAGTCCTCTGTTTCCTGTATCTCATTGTCAGGTCGTCTGTTATTCCCACCACAGTCTTAGCCATAGTGTTTTGTAGGTTTTTCCTCATAGTTTTCACTGTGTTTCAAAGTAGCCTTAGTTTACACAGTGTTCATAGTTGTTCTCAGTTCTTTCTTAAGTTTCATTGTTTTCTTGTTCTTTGCTGCCATCATCCAAATAAAAGATCACTTTTTGTTCAACCACCAACTCCTCTTTCCAGTATCTGCATCTGGGTCCTGTTCCTCAACACAATCGGCGCACCCCTCCATGACAAACATTGCACATTCCCTCTGTGTAAAACTAAAAACAGATACACTGTGTACCTTTTGCTATACTATCTGAACACCCTGTTTTTCTTACATATATAATTTGCTGCCTTTTTGCATAACTGTTCTCACTGACCTTTTTCTCATTAGTATTACTGATTTAAATGTATATATTGTGTATATGCCAATTAGATGTTCTGTGTCTTGTTCTGAAGTGCAAATTTTGCTCTTCATTTTATTGTGAGTGTTTATCTGTTGTTTATGGTGGAGTAACATACATCTATCTATCTATCTATCTATCTATCTATCTATCTATCTATTATTGATGTTTTTATTCAAAGTCAACCACTGCCTCACAGCTGCCCTTTATCACCACCCACCCACTCAGGGGGGGACCTGGAATCAAAGCACCATTTTGTATTTGGTTGAATGCTGCAATGACTATAGTGCCTATCCATCATCTGTACTGCACAACATCAATACTGCAAATAATTTCTGTCTGAGCCCTCAGAGACACTTGGCTTATTAAGATAATATAATAACACCGAAAAGCACAGTCAGCCCCCCCAAAAAACTAATAGCATGGCTGGTCAATATCTTGTCAGTCCATCCCACAAATTATGAGGCCACACACAGTATTCTTTTTATTTAAGGCGATAGGAGTTCACCTTTTTACTAAGCAACAAATTTGTACATGTAAAAGGCCAATGGAGCAAATCTGTGCTATAAATTGTCATTAATGAGGTGTATCCATAGTGATTTCAGTGAACAAGAAGCAGCTAAAACACATTCCCAGCGACTGCTGCTGAGACTTTAAGTGCAACCTGTAACTGAAAAATAACAGAGCTACTTTTTTACTTGTATGCTTTATAATGTCATTGAATATGCCCTGTTTGTCCCTATTTATAAGTCAGCAACAGACGGTAGGACATTATGACATTTGTCTGCACATTTGTTCCTGTTTGGAAGCAGCCATGGGAATAAACTACTAGGGATATACCTGCTTAAACCGGCCAGACTAACACAGTGAGCAAGGTGTACATTCAAGTGTGATGATAGGACTAGTCACACAATGACACAACAGTGTGCTTGGAAACAGCAGGACACGACCTTGTCACAGAATGGTGTTGAGAGACCCTGCCAACATGTGAATATGAATCTGTGGGATGGAGGCACTGTGTAACTCCACAGGCTCCAGTGCTGCATGCTAATGAGCTCCAGCTGTTTTTGAAGTTATAGAGTTAGACGGCAATGGCAAAGCCACTCGGACATTACGACTCAACAAATGTGTTCACCCTTTTAGTAAAGCTGATTACAGAAAGTGATTCGAACTCAGAAAAATGTTCTGTTTTCAACAACCGGCATAATAATTACATTTGTGATGAACAGTGTTTGATGGTTTCTTGATTTGGTGAACTTGAAAGACTGGATGTTCCTTTCTGTTTTTTCTCAAACTTTTTATACTGCGCCCCTACCCCTCGCCTGCCCCTCAGGTCCAATCAATGTTGGCGTTACTGTGTGCGTGCCAAGGCAGACATCTGCGCCTGCAAGATCCTCCAAAACTGTCAGATGAAAGTAAACAAATGCTCTCCCAGAATGTGTGTGTGTGTGTGGTTGAATGAGAACAGAAATGACATCACAGGTAATTCTCTTTTGCACCAGATGGACCACCTGCAAAAGAGAGGGGCATGGCCACTATCACTTTTATGCTGGTACACTTGCACTGTAACAAAGATTATCATGCCCTGCAAGTTTATATTTATCAGCAAATCAGTCAGTAAGCCAAAGTAATAATCAGATGAGACAAATGGAAACAAACTAGGCTGTGCATCCTGTAGACTGTGAAACTGCAAATCTAAACTGGCAAAGCACAGACTGTTCCGGGGTTTACCAGCATACCCAATAACAATTAAGAAAAACTGATCATTAGATCAAAAGACCTGACTTGAGTATTGATCATTAGTAGGGATGCAACAATCCCACATTTGTATCTGATATCAGAAGAGTCCTGATCCAAAAGGTTGGATCTGACATTGATGACAACTTGTCAATCTACAGTATGGGCTGATCTTTCAGTTCAGGTCTATGTTGTTATGTATTTAATTTACCAGCATCTGAGGCTTAGCTAACATAGCTGAAAGCAGGAGTAGTTTGGAGACCAACAGCTTTTCTCTGTATGTTTGAAAAAGTTTTATTATTTAACTGCAAAGTGTGTTAACTGTGCGTTCAAGTGATGAAAAAGCTCCAATGAGGAAGTGCTTAAGCTTCTCTTTCTAGCTCGCTTTCTGGCTCACTTTCCCTAATGCATGGTCAGAGAGGAAAAAGTAGTGTGTTTTCACACTTATTGGGAAGATTTCATTTAACTTGCAACTATAAATGACTGCAGTATGCAGAAGGCCGATGACTTCATTTGAGCTGAAGTGAGATGAGTGCAAATAAACAAACTGTTAAAGTAATACATTTTTTCTTGCCTCTTCTTTAATTTTACTGATAAATATCAATGTAGGAAATGTTATTTTTTGGACGGGATTTTTTGCTAGATTTTATTTAGCAAATTTAGCAATGTTTAAGTCAATCCTGATGGAAACGTACACATGAACTAATGTTTCACAGCCTCACAGTGAGAAATTGCTCTCCTGCTTTCAGCTACTAACTTTAGGGGTCGCCAAATTGGATGATCTGCCTCCCCCTAGCTTCCTCTTCTGTAACACTAGCCCTCTGCTTCTCCTTCACTATATCCATGAATCTTCTGTGTGGTCTTCCCCTTTTCACCCTCCCATATTCAACATCATTTGTCCAATATATCCTCTATCTCTCCTCTGCACACGCCCAAACTATCTTAGTCTTACCTCTCTAACTCCAAATCGCTCAGCCTGAATTGTCCCTCTGATGTACTCACTTCTAATCCCGTCCATCCGGGCCACTCGAAACAAAAATATTAACATATTTAACTTTGCCACCTCCAGCTCAGCCTTCTGTCTTTTTCTCAGCATCACCCTCTCCAAACCATGCATCATAGCAGGTCTCCCTAACATCTTGTAAACCATCTCTTTTGACTCCTGTTGCTACCCTTCTGTCACAAATACAGCTTATTTAT